CCCAAATGCAGACAGAATTTTCAGGCCTACAGTGTCCATTGTGCTACTGTTGAGAAGTCCTGCAGAGGGCTAGACCCATGGTGTTTGCAGAGATAACCTCTTCAGATGGTTCTAGAAAGACAGCATCAGAATGACCTGTGGCTTATTAAGCCCTCAGGCGCTGGGGAGGATGTGTGCCTCTCACCAGCTCCAGCTGGGAGTGCACTCTGAGAAGCTGACATGGAGCGGCTGTGACATGGTCCCTGGTGTGCACAGCTCTCGGTTTGTCTGGCTTGTCATGTGACCAGTGTCGTAGCTCAGGACTGTCTCATCTTTGTGGAGTGGACCTCCACACACCCTCCCCACCCAGCTCCTTCCACTAATCCTACCGCTTCAGAGGCCACAGAGCAGCTTCTCGGGACAGTTTCTTACAGTTGAAGTTTTATATGAGTAAAGGTTGCAGACGGTCCCCAGGTGCTGCCCTCCACGTAGGCAAGTGCTCAGCTGTCACCTCGGGGCTGGGCACTTGCCTTGGTCTCCTACGCGCAGAGCGAAGCTGAGAAGGGGCACCTTCTGGCTGCGTGGGAAGGTGGGCTCCTGGGGCCAGCAGGTCCTGGTCCGAGTTCTGCTGTGTCCTTCTTGCTGTATTGTCACAAGCATGTACACTAAGTTTCTTCACATGTTAGAGGGGCTTAAAACCTTTCTCATGTGTGTTGTGCAGATTGGATGGGGATTAGCTGTCTCTTGCCCAGCGAGCGCTCAGTAGGCAGCAGGTGATGTTTGCATTGCCAGCTGTTATTTTCAGAGGCCCTTTCAATTTTAACCTTCCCTTCCCCATGCACCATTTTATGCCTGCCTTCATCGCTTCCTGACCCCCAGTTAAGACAGAAGTAAATTATATACTGTATGTTGTATCATCTCATCGGTTGGATATGTAGTCTGACCATCTTGGGTTATTTATAGTTAAAATAAATGTGGTTGTCATACTGTGATAGAAAATCGACCTTGGATGGTGCGGGTGTGAGAATTGTTGAGCGCTGTGCTCATGGTTGCTGTGATTAAAGTTTTAGGTTTCTGTGGTCTAGTTCTTAGCAAAAAGCGGTTCCTTTTTCTTGTTGCCTTATACTGCTTTGATTCGTGTGCCTCTGTTTATTGCTTCTAAGTTTGCTGTGGTTGGGGAACCTGGATTATCAAGTTTAAAATGCTCCCTAGGTTCAGGGCAGATAGGCTGTGAGTTGCTAGCCTGGAACGGCTGGGAGCTGGGGCTGGGGCACCTGTTGGGGTGGTGAGGACAGAAGGCAGACTTTGCTTCTAAAATCACTTGTGGCAAACATCCAAGGAGCTCACCAGTTTTGGTGATTGAGATTGTGGGCCGTTTTCTTACATGGAGCTAGTGTTGAGCTAAATCAGGGGTGCAGAACTTCTGTCCCACGGACCTACACGACCAGCAGAATCATTTGGCCTGGCCCTGCCAAGGCAACCGCAGGCAGGACTCGAAATGCAGTAAATCTAGGAGCTTTTTTCATAGCTCATTTTTAAGTTGATAGTTTTGTAGGGCCCACGAATGAGGTTATAAATATCCAAAGGGCCCCTGGCAGAGAAAAGGTTCCCCACCCCTGAGCTAAATGCATGTATCTGGGGGCAGTTGAAAGGATTAACAGAATGATCTTTTAGTATAAATGAGACTTCGGGGAAACTCCCTGCTTCTCTTCAGCTATTCCCTGTGGGTGGTCCACTTTGCTCACGTTTTCCTGAGAACTCCTGCCACGTGCTGGTTTTCATTCTCTTCTCTACCTTTCAGGCGAAGTCCTGCGTCTGTCACGTGTGTGGTGTCCACCTGAGCAGGCTGCACTCTTGCCTCCACTGTGTCTTCTTTGGCTGTTTCACAAAGAAGCATATTCACGAACATGCGAAGTCGAAACGGCATAACCTGGGTAAGGTGCCCTCTGACCTGTCGCACTGGCATTGGGACAGCCACTGCCCTGGCTCTCTGTGTTTTGCATTTAGGTTTGCGGTCCCACCCTCCTTAAGTCCTCTACTTCTGTCTAAAATAATTTGTGACCTCCGTGTGAAATTCCTAAGGAAGTGAGAGATAAACTGAACTCAAATGGATCATTGTACCCAGCTTGCCTGTGGCATTTAAGTTGGTGTTAAGATTTTATGTGATCTCAAGTGATAAATTATGGTGGCTAACTTCTTATATTTATCTAACCTCCTTTGAAAAGTGCTTTTTCTTTAATGGAGTATTAGAGCCTCATCTTTCTCTATGAAAAACATGGTTAGGAATTCGATTAGGCAAAAATTTACAAAGAAAGATCTTAAGTGCAGTATTAGGTTACTGATGTCAGCATGGAGTTGGGTGTACATAGGTGATAGTTTTGCTTTCAGGAATGAATTTTGTTGTTTTTAAAAAATATATCTTTATTGATTTCAGAGAGAGGAAGGGAGGGAGAGAGATAGAAACATCAATGATGAGAGTCATTGATCAGCCTCCTCCTGCACGCCCCCCACTGGGGATTGAGCCCGCAACCCGGGCATGTGCCCTGACCGGGAATCGAGCCAGGATCACCTGGATCATAGGTCAACACTCAACTGCTGAGCCATGCTGGCCAGGCTAGATTTTGTTGTTTTGAGCCATACAAGGTCATGAACATACTAACAGCACTGGCATCAGGATGCGATTACTTTTCTTGGACTTAAAGATGGAAATGCGCACAGCAGGAAGGTCACATAAACTGCAAGGGTGGAGAACCTTTTCTCTGCCAGGGGCCATTTGGATATTTATAACATCATTTGTGGGCCATACAAAATTATCAACTTAAAAATGAGCTATGAAAAAAAGCTCCTAGATTGATTGAATTTTGGTCCCACTTGTGGTTGCCCTGGCAGGGCCAGACCAATGTCAGGACGTTCCCCACCTATGACATAAAGCAAGGTTCTGCTCATGGTTTTCTTTTCTTAGCATGGTCATTAAATGTTTGCCTCCTTCAGAATAGTGTTTTCTGTTAAATTTGTGTGATTGTCAGGGTATCCTTAATAAGAAAGACACTTTCAAAAGGTACAAGCCAGAGAACCTGTTCTAGAAATTGGTTGTGTATTCCTGGCTGGAAATGGTTCCTCGATCACAAAGCCGTGCACTGCTTGTGTCCACAGGGCTCCTGCAAGCAGTGCTCACAGCAGAGGCAGGGCTGAGACCAACACAGGCATATGCCTGGTTTTTCTTCTTTTTTTTTTTTTTTTCCGAGAAGCAAGATAATGTAAGGCAAAAGAGATCTCTATCTTACGTGATGTGTTCATGAGTCAGCTGTTTCATTACAGACACAGGGAAGCTGTCACCTCAATATCACGCTATGTGCAGTAGCTACAATTATAATGGAAACAGTAGAGAACAGAGAAGTAAATCCATGTCTAAATGGTCAGTTAAGCCCTGGCCAGGTGGCTCCGTTGGAGCATCCTTCCATACACCAAAAGGTTGTGGGTTTGATCCCTGGTCAAGGTGCATATGGGAGGCAACCAGTCGATGTTTCTCTTTCACATCGGTGTTTTTTTCTCTTTCTCTCCCTTCCTCTCTCTCAAATTAATAAAAACATTCTCTGGTGAGGGTTAAAAAATAAGTAAATAGTCAATCTATGACAAAGGAGGCAGGAACATACAGTGGGGTAAAGACAGTCTATTCAGTAAACAGTGTTGGGAAAATTGGACAGATATATGCAAAAAAATAAAATTAGATCACCAACTTACACCATATACGAGAATAAACTCAAAATCCATTAATGACTTAAACGTCAGACTTGAAATTATAAAACTCCTAGAAGAAAATATCAGCAGTAAAATCTCAGACATTTCTTTTAGCAGTATTTTTTCTGATCTATTTCCTGAGGAAGAAAAACTAAACAAATGGGACAATATCAAACTAAAAAGCTTCTGCACAGCAAAGGAAACCAACTAAATGAAAAGAGAGCCCACTGTGTGGGAGAACATACTCACCATTGATACATCTGGTACGGGGTTAATTTCCAAAATATACAAAGAACTCATACAACTCAACACCAGGAACAGTCCAGTTAAAAAGTGGGCGAAGGATTGGAATAGACACTTCTCCAAAGAGGACATACAGATGGCCAAGAGATGAAAAAATGCTCAAGGTCACCAGTCATCAGAGATGCAAATTAAAACCACAATGAGGTATCACCTCACACCTACCAGAATGTCTACCATCTACAAGTCAACAAAGGACAAGTGCTGGCGAGGGTGTGGAGAAAGGGGAACCCTCATGCACTGCTGTGGAAAGCAGTGTGGAATTTCCTCAAAGCAAAAGAATATATGCACCCCTATGCTCATTGCAGGATTATTTACAACAGCCAGGATACGGAAGTAACCCAAGTGTCCATCAGATAAAAATGTTGTGGTACATATATAAGATGCAACATTACTTGGCCATAAAAAAGAATGAAATCTTACTATTTTTGACAATATGGATGGACCTAGAGGGTATTATGCTAAGCGAAATAATCAGACAGAAAAGACAAATACCATATGATTTCACTTATATGTGGAATCTAAGAACAAAATAAACAAAATAGAAAGGGACTCATAGATAATAACAGACTGTTGGTTGAAGAGGTGGAAGGAGTTGGGGGCTGGGTGAAAAGATGAAGGGTTAAGTACTAATTGGTAGTTATAAAATAGTCACAGGGATGTAATGTACAGGACAGGGATTATAGTCATTGGTATTTTAATAACTATGTATGGTGCCAGGTGGGTACTTGAAATGTCACGGGGAACACTTTGGCCCTTGTCGGTGTGGCTTAGTTGTACCAAAAAGTCACTGGTTTGGTTCCCGGTCATGGCTGCACATACCAAGATAGCTGGTTTGATCCCGGTGGGATGCGTACCAGAGGCAGCTGATGTTTGTCTCTCTCCCTCTCCCTTCTTCTCTAAAATCAGTAAAAACATTAAATAAAGAGGGGGACGCTTTGAAAATATGTGATTGTTTAACCACTATGCTGTACACCTGAAGCTAAGATAAAATAATGTTGAATACAAACTGTAATTGAAAAATAAAATTTAAAAACCTCACTTTGGTGTTAATTCAGTCAACCTGATTGATAAACTCTGCCTGTACTTTTGCAAGAAAAAAGTTTGATAAAGTTTGCTTTAAGAAACAAATCATGAGAAAGATCTACTCTTTGCTGAGCCCATGATATTGAAGGGTTCATGTGTATGTGTTAACAAAGCTAGAAATTAGTTTTGTGTGTCCAGGTGGTGAAGAGGGAAGGGAGCTAGAGAAGGGATGTGGGGATGGCGGCCCTGCCCTACCTTTCGGTATGTCTTGGCCTTTCCTGACTTACTAAGAACAAACTTTGTCCTTCCCCCTGTCCCCACCCTTTACACTCAGAGCAACTTCTTAGGCTGTTACACTCTGGTTGTCATTTTTTGGAGGGTGTTTGCAGAATGCCCAAGGGTAATTTAATGGAGCAACTGAATGTCGGAGGAGCAAAGAACCTTGACTTCCTTGGGCGAAGTTCTGTCTCCAGGGCACACTGGGCAGTACAGTACAGTGGGACCTGAAGTGCATTACTAGAGAAATTTCTCGCTGGGCATCCAGTTTTTAATGGGAGTAGATGAGAGGCCTGAGGTGAGTCTTGCCTGAATATTGGGGGTGAAGCAGTTGAATCAAGTGTAAGTAGCAGCAGGGTTGTTGAAGGCCTGTGGAAGGACAGGCAAGTGTGGCCTGGGATGAAAAGTTCTACTTCCTTAGTGCATCTTGCCCTGTAAAACTCTCTTGATGTCATAAAATACACACATCAGGAAAAAGAACTTTATATCAGTCAAATTTTCTACAGGGCGGGACAAAGGTTGGTTTACAGCTATGAGAGCATGAAACACAAGAGTTTATTCTTGCATTACTTATTAATTACTGTATTATTTCCATAAGAAGAGCTGTAAACCTACCTTTGCCCACCCTGCACCCATCTGTACTGGTAGGTGTGCTAAACTGTGCTAGAGCCAGGTCACTGAGGCAAACTCAGAGCTGTTTGATTTCACATTTCTTAGTTTTAGGTTGAGTCACAGGGGTACTTGGATTTTGCCTGCGTGAGCCACAAATGGTGTAAGAGTGATGCCTTGAACCTGTCCTGTCCACCTTAGAAGAGTGATTTTAGTTGCCCAGAAGAGTATGAGTGAGTACCCACGTGTGAAGCGGGGTGCAGGGTGTCAGCTCACTTGAGTTGATGTTTTCCCTCCATTCTCAAGGTCATTCTGTGACCAGAGGGGAAAAGACCAGCCATGCATGGTGCCTGTGTCAGCTGATGGTGTGGAATTGCTGAGGAAGCTGATGTATAAAGACAAAACCATAGGAGAGTGCCTGCGACCCAGGGCCAGCTCCACACTGACCCGCTCGCTCTCACCCAGGCTGGGGACTGGCTGGCACCCTCAGCTCCTTGCCTTGGGGCAGTCAAGGCTGTGTCCTCGGAATCTTCATTTTGACTACGAAACAGTTTTCCAAATTAACTACCTTGATTATATGTGTTGCTTTGGGTTTTTAAATTTTATGTTGAAGTGACATTTGCATAAACTATAATTAAACATTTTAAAGTGCACAGTTCAGTGGCGTTTAGTCACTGACAATGCCAGGCAGCCACCACATCTGCTTTTAGAACTGTCACTTCAGCCCCCCCCATCAGTTTCCAATTCTTCCCTACCCCAGGCCTGGCAGCCATTAATCTGTTTTTTGTCTCTATAAAAATACGGAATATTTTATATAAAAGGAATCATCTAGTATGTGACCTTTTTTGTAACTTCTTTCTCTGAGCGTGTCTTCAGGGCGCTCTATGCTGTAGGCTGTGTCAGTGTTTCCTCCCCTCGTGGGCTGTGGTGGAGATGACAGGACGTTTTCTTAGTCATCCATCGGTAGGCGTTTGGGTTGTCTCTACTTTTTCGTTCTTATAAATAATGCCATTGTAAACATTCACGTATAAGTTTCTGTGTGAACCTATGTTTTCCTCTTGGATATATATACCTGGGAGTGAAATGGCATATTCTGGATAATAAGCCCTTATCAGATACATGACCTGCAGGCACTTTATCCCGTTCTGTAGGTTGTCTTGTCCCTTTCTTAGTAGTGTCTTTGATGCACAGAGTTTTACTTTGAATGAAGTCCAGTTCCTCTCTTTTGGTGCTCATGGTATTAAACATACAATCCGTGAAGATTGACTCTTGTGTGTTCTTAGGCCTCTATGCTTTTAGCTCTTACGTTTAGGCCGCTGGTCCATTTTGAGTGAATGCTTGTCTCTGGTGTCAGGTAAGGGTCGAGCGTCATATTTTGCATGTGGAGATGTAGTTCTAGTTGTCCCAGCACCATTTGTTGGAAATCATTGGCTTCACACACTGATGAACAATTGCTGTGGAAAAGTTCCTTGAGGAAGGACTCACCTGGGAGGACTTTAACACGCACCTTTCCCAGGCAGGTGGGCTTGCTGTTGGCTGTATGCTTGGCATATTTTTCATCAAATGCCTTTGCTTTTCTGAAATTTTTGTCCTCATTGCTAAGCTTGTCTCAGACTAGATTTCTCTTGGACATCCCCATGCTAAGACTGTGCACTGACAAAAGGCACCGGCGGAGCTCTCAGAACAGCTGTGATGTGGACTTGCAGAGTGTGTTAGAGTCTTGTCAGTGTTTTGGGTGGGTTGAAGGGCAGGCATGGGGTTCTTCGGTGGCTAGTTTGTGCTTTAAGAGACCTGTTTTAGAGGACTTTGCAGATCTACCACAGTATCTCTGATCTGAGTCATGGTAGCTGAAGACATGAAATGTGATCAAAGCTGTGATTTATTACGATGTTGCTGTCGACCAGGATGGGTACTGTAGTTCTAGGGATTACTTTAATCATCGTACAGAACTATGAGGTGTTAGTGCTTTTAATGTCAACATAGTGCCAAAGGGGAAACTGAGGCTCAGGGGAAGTGAATACATAACTACCAAGTGGCAGAGTTGGGATAATACCAGTTATTCTAAATCTGCTGTTTCCTCCATGCTACGTTGCCTCTCAAACCTCTGATATGCTTGTTGACTCCAAGCCAAGAAAATTCTTTTAAATTGTTGAATGAGACAGTACCTTCTATTGCTCAAAGGACTTTATCTTATTTATCTTTATAATGAAGTAATTTGAAGTCAGGCGGCACCCTATTTTATAGGTACTGAGAAGGTACGCAGGACCCACTCATAAGTGGGCAACAGGCAGCTCTGGCCAAGAAGTCAAGGTTGTCTGGTCAGAGGATGATTTACTGCTATCCTTAAAGAGTAGGCAGATAATTATTGCATTCTTTTTGTAACAGTACTAGGAATTCTAGATGCAGTAAAACATGGTTACTGTATGTCAGGCCCAGAATTCTGATTTAAAACAAGGGAAAACGCAATGAGAGTTTCCTTTGTTTTAAATATTACTCTTTCAGATACTTAACTATTGGGTTCTTTATGAAATATGAGTGTGGCACCTCGTTCTCACTTGGGTGCCTCACCCTTTGACAGGAGCTTCCATAGAAAAGTGGCATACCTCATCTGCTTGGGATAAACTGTCTGAAGGGGGAGGAAACCCTTTCGTAATAGCAGGGCTCTGTGACTTGAGAGGTGGGAAATGCTATAGACAGCCCTGTGTCTATAAAACTTGTTTGTCTAATTTGTGTTCTTAAGCATTGCCTTTTCGTTTTTAATTACCTTTGTCTCTCTTTCTTCCTTTGTTTTTTCAGCCATAGATCTTATGTATGGAGGTATCTACTGCTTTTTGTGTCAAGACTACATATATGACAAAGACATGGAAATCATTGCCAAAGAGGAACAGCGGAGAGCTTGGAAGATGCAAGGTTTGGTCTTGCCTAGATTCATGTTCCTCGCGTGTCCTAGCCCAGCGTACCCTCTCCTCCGTCAAGGGCGAAACTCACCAAAGAAAGATCAGTTATCTAGGGAGAGTCAGTGTAGGGAAACGGGAAAGTAAGCTGGCAGTTGGATTTTTACTGTTTAGTGGAAAGACAGCCCCCAGCCTGCCTGCCCCCCGCCGCACGCACGCACGCACGCACGCGCACCTGCACCTGCACCTGCTCGCTTCCTCCCAGGCACAGGCACAGAGTGGAGCCAGGCTAGGCTGCAGGACAAGCAGTGAGAGGCTGGCTGTCAGCCGCAGGTGCCCATCACTTCCCACAGCTTCCCAGAGCTGTCCTTTGCCCCAGGTCCCCCAGCGGCATGTGGCTGCTGTGAGGGGCTCTGCTGGGGTTGAGAAGAAACGTGCACCAACACCTACGTTCTCCGTCTTAGGCATATTCATAGGGACAGCTGTAGTAAGGCCACGTTGCCATCAGGTCCCTGGTGAGCAGTTTACCTCAGCTCTCCAGTGTTCCGGGAAGCAGCCTCGCCTCAGGACTATTAAAAGATGTATGTCCCTGGTTTCTCCCAGGAGGGAAGACTGTTTCTGATTAAATTATTATAGGATCTCTCTTAACACTCTTTAACTATTTGGGTTATGTTTAATCTGTGTTAACAGAATTAAAATTGCCAGATGGAAAATGTAATAATCTACCACTTACACACCACCCACCTGGTTTAGGGTTTTCCTCTGGGCAGTGCCTCACAGTCAGAGCCATGGTGGCTTCTTGTCTGCCAGTGCTTCCTCCAGCGTGCTGCCTCTGTCGGGATGTGGCCAGGGGTGCAACAGATGCATGCAGCCATTTTCTGTGTTGCTCTTTTGTTTACTTTTGGCTTCCCTGATGTTCCCCCTTTATTAGTTTTCGTTTCCAGCATGTGCTTCTGCTGCGATGGCAGGCGGGGTATGGTGTCCTGTGTGGTTGCTGAGCCCAGTGGCCCCAGCAGTGTTCACAGAGAGCACACACGACCCAGCATGTTTCACAGATGTGGCCTCACTTGTTCTGCTTTAGGAACCCCATTTTTTTGAGAAAGGAAGAATAGAAACAGGAGTGATCAGAATTACTTGTTTCACAGATCTTTTCTGGAGGACGACTTCCTATTCTTTTCTCCTCAGAACCGTAGTAGCATTGCTCTGAGAACGAGCATATTGTTTCTTTGTGCTGAACACTTGACCGCAGGGCCCAGAAATGCAGGTTCCGGATGGAGTAAGAGAGCTCTTCTAATACCTTCCTGCAGCCCCATCGGTCCGCGAGAGGCTGTCCTTGTGACATGGATTGGCTTGTGCAGGAGTTTTAGGTAGCATAGAGCAGGTGCTTCCAGTGAGGACTTAAGTGTGCAGTAGGGTGAAATGCAACACTTATTAGCATTTATTGCATTGTCTTTGGTTTAAATCTTTTATGGGTACATCTCAACGATGTATTCCTCAAAAAATATATATATGTGTATATTTTAAATATGTCTTTGTTGATTTCAGAGAGAGGAAAGCAGAGGGAGAGAGATAGATAGAAACGTCAATGATGAGAGAGTCATTGATCGGCCACGGCCCACAACCCGGGCATGTGCCCTGACCGGGAATTGAACCCTGATTGCTTGGATCCTAGGTTGACGCTGAACCGCTGAGCCACGCCCGGCTGGGCATATATGTATATTTTTAAACTTGTCTTTATTGTTGAAAGTATTACAAATATCCCTCTTTTCCCCCCATTGATCCCCTCCACCCTGTATCCACCCCCCAGGCCTTCCCCACGCTGTTGTCTTGTCCATGGGTTATGCACATATGCATGTAAGTTCTTTGTTTATCTCTCCCCACCCACCACCCACGCCCGCCTTCCCTCTGAGACCCCCTCAGTCTGTTCTATGCTTCTATGTCTCTGGATCTGTTTTGTTTATTAAATTCCACATATAAGTGAGATCATGTACAACTGAATCAGGAAGAATCAGGAAACCTGAATAGGCCAATAACACCTGATGAAATCAAAGCAGCAATTAAAAAAAACCCACCAAACAAAAGCCGTGGTCTGGACAGCTTCACAGGGGAGCTTTCTAATTCTTTAAGTCGTAGGGTTAGATAGTTTACTAAAAATTGTTCTTGTTTTTTGAGGTAGGGCTGTAATGCTATGAACTTCCCTCTTAGAACTGCTTTCGCTAAGTCCCATAGATTTTGGNGTAGATCTGCAGTGCTATGGCCTTCCTTCTTAGGACTCCTTTTGCTGTTTCCCATAGATTTTGGGTTGTGTGTTCATTTTCATTTCTTTCCAGGAAGTTTTTTATTTCTTTCTTGATCTTATTGGTAATTCATTCATTGTTTAATAACATACTATATAACCTCCATGTGTTTGAATGTTTTTGAGTGTTTTTACTGTAGTTGATTTTTAATCTCGTGCCATTGTGATCTGAGATGCTTGAGATAATTTCAATCTTCTCGAACTTCTAGAGACCTGTTTTGTGTTCTAACATGCAGTGTATCTTTGAGAATGACCCATGTGCACTTGAGAGGAATGTGTATTCTGCAGCTTTGGGGTGAAATGTTCTGTAAATATCAATTAGTTTTTGTATGGAAGATTTATCCAGTGAAGTCAGTGGGGTGTTAAAGTCCACAACTATGACCGTATTGCTGTTGATCTCTCCCTTAAAGCCCTTAAGATTATTATTGATAGGTCCTTATTTATTACCATTTTAATTCTTTATGCCTATGTTGTCTCTATATTTCTTCTTATTATTACAGCAGTCCCTGCAATGCTGGTTTGGTGTTGATAAACTCCTTTAGCCTTTTTTTGTTTGGGAAACCCTTTATTTCACCATCTATCTTGAATGATAGCCCTGCTGGAGAGAGTAGTCTTGGTTTCAGATCTTTGTTTTGCATTTCCTTGAATACTTCATGCCATTCCCTTCTGGCCTGTAGAGTTTCTGATGAGAAGTCAGCTGACAACCTTATGGGAGCTCCTTAGTAGGTAACAGACTGCTTTTCTCTTGCTGCCTTTAAGATCCTCTCTTTGTCTTGAATTTTTGGCATTTTAATTATGATGTGTCTGGGTGTGGGCTTCTTTGGATTCTTCTTGCTTGGGACTCTCTGTGCCTCCTGAACTTGTGTGACTTTTTTCTTCATCAGGTTAGGGAAGATTTCTGCCATTGTTTCTTCAAACAGGTTCTCTACCCCTTGCTCACTTTTGACCTCTTCTGGCACTCATATGATGCTAATATTGTTACATTTATATTGTCCCACAGCTCCCTTAGACTGTCCTCCTGTTTTTTAATTGCTTTTTCTTTTTGATTCTCTGATTGATTTTTTTTTCCTACCCTATCTTCGAATTCATTGATCTGATCCTCAGCTTCCTGTAATATGCTGTTTATTCCTTCCAATGTATTCTTTATTTCTGTGTCATTCTTAATTTCCTTCTTAGTTTCCATATCTTTTCTCATGCTGTTGAGCATCCTTACAATCAGTATTCTGAACTCTACATCTGATAGATTGCTTATCTCCATTTCATTTAGCTCTTTTTCTGGAGACGTCTTTTTTTCTTTAATCTAGGGCTTGTTTTTTTATCTCCTCCTTTTGGCTGCCTATTTGGGTTTGTTTCTATGTATTAGGTAGGCCTGCTAGGACTCTTAGTCTTTTTGGATGGTCTATGGTGCAGGCCAATGTCAGACGCTGTTTGTGAGTGGCCTTGAGTACCCTGTTTTGAGCTATGAACAATCCATGGCTTGAGGTCCCCTCTGTTGGGGCTGGGTGCATTTGGACAGGACCAAGATGCACACAGAGTCTGCTTTTCCAAGGCCCAGGTCCAGAAGCAGATCAGGCAAAGACTCAAATAACTTTGAGGTCTTCCTCTGCCTGTAAGGTGATTAATTAGATTCTTGTTATGAGCCCCAGGCTACAGAAACTCCACAGGGTGCGTCGGCTGATTGTTATCAGTCTCTTAATGAACCTCAGGCCGTAGAAACCTCTCTGGGCAGTGCAAGGGTGTTCCAGCAGGGTGAGGCAGTTGCTTCCCCCTCAGGCAAAAGCAGCTTGGAAGGTAAATGTCTGCCTGAGAAAGATATCCTCTGCAGTATGGGGGAATGACTCGGCTCAGGAATCTAGAGGGGTGCCCTCTGAGCTCTATCTCCAGAGCCCACAACCCTAGATTATCCTCACACAGCTTCAGTCCATTCTGCTCTCCCTTTGCTGGAGCCCAAGGTGAGTGGCTACACATGAAACTTTGTGCATTGGTTCTGTAAGAGGGTGCCTGCATTTCCAGCTGTCTTTCCCTGGCAGACAGAAGCCCAGCTGCTTTTCACAGCCAGATGTTATATGGGCACCTGTCTCAGTTCTGGTGCTCTGGGCTGGGAAGCCCAGCTTGGTGTTTAGGCCCCAAAGTTCTCAGTGGGAACCCCCCACGGTTGAGATCTCCCTCCGGACCTTTAGCTGCTGCCTTTGGGAGCCCAGCCAGCCCTCTCGCGCCTCCGCACTTCCTGCCAGTCTCTATGTGGTCTCCCCTTTTCCTCTTTGGTTACAAGGGTGCTCTCCAGCTTGTCTTCAGTTGCAGTTGATTATTCAGGATGGTCTTTCTGTATTTTAGTTGTAATTCCAGTTTGATCCTGGGAGAGTGTAAGTGTAGCTTCTGCTCAGTACACTGCCATCCAAAATGTATTTTAATAACTGCATTTTTCTGTCACTTTTGCTCACTCACCAGAGAATCCTTCATCTCCATGGCTGAGTACTTCCCCTTGGTGCTGACTCTACAGTCTACTCAAGGGATAGGCTCTGAAAGAACAGCCATTTGGTGTCAGTGGCTGGTTTGCTTTAATTGGAGGCCTTGCTTTCCTTCCTCCAGGGAATTGCTAAATCACAGCAGCCTCTAAATATACCCGTACCCCGGCCAGGCATGGCGCAGCGGTTGAGCATCGACCTGGGATCCAGGCGATCAGGGTTCGATTCCCGGTCAGGGCACATGCCCAGGTTGTGGGCTCAGTCTCCAGTCGGGGGCGTGCAGGAGGCAGCCGATCAATGACTCTCTCATCATTGATGTTTCTCTCTCTCTCTCTCTCCTTTCCTCTCTCTGAAATCAATAAAGATATATTTAAAATATATATATATATATATATATATACCCGTAGTGTTCTGTCTAGCCTGCTGCAGCATAATAGGGTTTTAGAAAGATCTTGTAGTGTGGATGTCCCCTCTTTGAATACAGCCTGATAAACTACATCACACGTCACCACTGTTTGTATTTATAAACACATTTGATTCAAATTTAACTAAAAGCACTGGGAACTGTTTTCCTCTGCTTAGGTGTTGGAGAGAAGTTTTCAACTTGGGAACCAAGCAAACGGGAGCTGGAACTGCTAAAACACAACCCGAAAAGGCGAAAGATCACCTCTAACTGCACCATAGGTAGGTGGGNGTGCTCTCCAGCTTGTCTTCAGTTGCAGTTGATTATTCAGGATGGTCTTTCTGTATTTTAGTTGTAATTCCAGTTTGATCCTGGGAGAGTGTAAGTGTAGCTTCTGCTCAGTACACTGCCATCCAAAATGTATTTTAATAACTGCATTTTTCTGTCACTTTTGCTCACTCACCAGAGAATCCTTCATCTCCATGGCTGAGTACTTCCCCTTGGTGCTGACTCTACAGTCTACTCAAGGGATAGGCTCTGAAAGAACAGCCATTTGGTGTCAGTGGCTGGTTTGCTTTAATTGGAGGCCTTGCTTTCCTTCCTCCAGGGAATTGCTAAATCACAGCAGCCTCTAAATATACCCGTACCCCGGCCAGGCATGGCGCAGCGGTTGAGCATCGACCTGGGATCCAGGCGATCAGGGTTCGATTCCCGGTCAGGGCACATGCCCAGGTTGTGGGCTCAGTCTCCAGTCGGGGGCGTGCAGGAGGCAGCCGATCAATGACTCTCTCATCATTGATGTTTCTCTCTCTCTCTCTCTCCTTTCCTCTCTCTGAAATCAATAAAGATATATTTAAAATATATATATATATATATATATATACCCGTAGTGTTCTGTCTAGCCTGCTGCAGCATAATAGGGTTTTAGAAAGATCTTGTAGTGTGGATGTCCCCTCTTTGAATACAGCCTGATAAACTACATCACACGTCACCACTGTTTGTATTTATAAACACATTTGATTCAAATTTAACTAAAAGCACTGGGAACTGTTTTCCTCTGCTTAGGTGTTGGAGAGAAGTTTTCAACTTGGGAACCAAGCAAACGGGAGCTGGAACTGCTAAAACACAACCCGAAAAGGCGAAAGATCACCTCTAACTGCACCATAGGTAGGTGGGTGGCAGTGCTTGGAGCGGTGGTCACTCACTCCTACTTAGGCTTACTCCTGAGGGTTTAAAGTGAATAGGTGTAAAAATGTGGTCTCATCACACAGTACTCCAAGCCCTGACATTCATTCACCCATCTTCTCAGCAGCCACTTCTTGAGCACTGTTCTCTGCTAGCACCTATGGTAGGCTTGGGGTGCGGTGCTGGGTGGAGATGGTCCCTACCCCTTAGAATCCACTTGTATAAAAAGGCTCACGTTTAGTCTCACCAGGATGAAGCTGTGCACAGCAATCTTCACGGAGTGTGTCGTAGGAGTATCCTCTGGGTTTCCTAACAGCTGAAGAAATACACTTTAGAAAGTTTTTTAAAAACTATTTTTGTTTGTTGTTGGAGAGGCTCCATTCTGATCAGTACTGTTGCCTGTTGTTAAAGAATATCTTTGGGTAATTTTACCAAGACATACAATGGCTGAAGTGGGGGCTAAGGGTTAGGGAGTGATGGTGATGAACATTCCTCAGTATAGTTTATATAAAAATTAGAAAAATATTGCCCTGGCCGGTGTGGTAAGTGGTTAGAGCATTAGCCTGCACACTGAAGGGTCTCAGGTTTTGATTCCTGGTCAAGGGCACATTACCGGGGTTGCAGGCTCCATCCCCATGCCTGGTCCGAGGGTGCATGCAGAAGGCAACCAATCAGTGTGTGTGTCTCACATCGATGTTTCTCTTTCTCTGTGTCCCCCTCCCTCCCTCTCTAAAAATCAATGGAAAAATATCCTTGGGTGAGGAGTAACCCAAAAAAAAAGTAAAAGAAAAATATTAACATTCCTCCTTGAAGGATGAGTAAAGGAAAGTGAGCGTAAATGTGAAGGAGCCGCTGTGGTAGCCTTGGGCTCAGTACCTCCAGGCCAGTGCTCAGGTCACTGCGCTCCTGTCTGCCCCCTCCCAGGTCTGCGCGGCCTCATCAACCTGGGGAACACCTGCTTCATGAACTGCATCGTCCAGGCCCTCACCCACACCCCGCTGCTGCGCGACTTCTTCCTCTCCGACAGGCACCGCTGTGAAATGCAGAGCCCCAGCTCCTGTCTGGTGTGTGAGATGTCCTCCCTTTTTCAGGAGGTGAGCACTGTTGACTTGTGCAGTGTAACATTTTGGTAACTACGTTGTTTTTTCTTTCTCTCTAAAAAAAAATAAAGTCAGATCGACTTACAGTATAATGAAGGCACATTTCCAAAACCTTCTGTAGTGAGAGAATATTGACTGGGTGTTGAATGTGGAAGGCTCACAGTTTCCCAAAGGGAATCATTAGATAGGAGATTATTAGCCTTTTTTCTTGAGCCCTTAGAGGGGCCTAGGAGAAGGGCTGGCATTATCTGTGGGGACTGTCAGAGCTCACCGTTCTCTGTTGTCTGCCATCCGGACTCTTAGCAAGGCATGTGGACATGTGCACCCCACTTCCCTGCTCTGTTCTCAGGGTGGGATCTTCTCTCCTGTCATTGGGCCTTCTGAGTGGGCTGCACCTGGCTTGTCCTCAACACCTGGCTCTGCTCCCAGGTTGGATTGTGGGCCACATTCATGTCTGTCCCTAACCAGCATGGATGGCATGACAGAGCTCAGGCATCCTTCGGTTGCCTCAGTTCAGCGACCTCAGGAAAGTCTCTCAGAGCTGAAGCAGCTCAGCCACCCCAGCTACAAAGTGGGCTGCTGCTGCTTCGCAGGTTTCTGGGAATCCCTAGGTGTGCCGCACAGGAGCCAGCAGGCAGCGGGTCTGTTTGTGGATAGCCTTTGATGGCAGTGTAGCCATGCCCATCCACCTACATCTTGGATGCTGGCTGCTTTTGCATTGCATTAGAGCACGTGAGCACCAGTGGAGCTATTGCTGCAGATACCACCTGGCCTGCATAGCCAGAGTCAGTTACTAGCTGGCCCTTTTCAGAAGACATTTCCCAGCCTCTGGTCTAGTCTGACCCATTTCCTTTATACTCACAGCATGCCTGTAATTACTGGGATCACAGCAGTGAGCAAACGGAATGAAATCGTTGGGCTCAAATAGGACAAAGACAGGTGCAGTTGAGAAACCAGCCGGTGGGTGTGTCACTTTCCTGTGTGGATTTCAGCCATTTTTACTGGGCACTTTGGGTAATAAATCCAAATAGGCTTGGGTTTATTAAGATATATTTTACAAGCAGCAGAATTCACCTTTTAGTGTGTAGATCTATTTATTTTGACAAACACGCATCGTAATTCACCGTCCAGGCTTATTGTAGAAAACACTATCCAGACTCAGAAAGCCCCAAGTCCGCAGTTGAGGCAGCTGTGCAGTGTTTCTATTGTGTTCAGAGTGTAGCGTTTGTTCCTGACAAGCGGTTTTGTTTCCCTTCTCTCTCTGAGCAGTTTTACTCTGGGCACCGATCCCCTCACATCCCGTACAAGTTGCTGCACCTGGTGTGGACGCACGCCCGGCACCTGGCAGGATATGAGCAGCAGGATGCTCATGAGTTCCTCATTGCGGCCCTGGACGTGCTGCACCGGCACTGCAAAGGTGGGGCTGGTGCCTTCTTCGGAGGGGAGGGGAGGGGAGGGCCCCTGCAAATACGGTGCAGCTGACCTGTTCACATTTGATTTGTGCCTAATTCTGTTTTTCTCCCAATAAGAAAATCTGCAGCTATCCTGAAGAGGTTTCTACAGTTAGTCTCACAGTGGCAGGTGCACCCTCCTGGCGCCTTTTCTCTCACATTCGTGTCCTTTAAGAGCAGAGCCCTGTTTCCAGGTCACTTAGTTAAACAGCCTTTATGTTACTGCTGCCCATCTCTTGGGTCACTGGGCTGCTCTCAGACACACCGTGGAGTCTGAGGTTTTCACTCAGAGACAAGCCAGACTTGAAATTAGACGGCTTATTGTGATCATCAAGGCTTTGGGATCTAACTTTTTTTACTTAAATTTTTTCCTCCTAAAAACATGCATAGTATCATTTTAATGCTTGCTGTAGGAATCAAAAGCTGCTTAATAGCTTAGGTGAGGCTTGGCTTCCTAGTATAAAGTGTAACATGCTGTACCAACAGAAAAGGGCCATGTGAGGAGCCATCATTAGTTACTATTTCAAGCGCTTGAGAAGAACTAAGAGACCTCTGTTTGAAAATGCATTGCTATTAAAATGTACACGTGACAAAAAGGGTGAAACCATGTGCTCTATTTCTGACATAATTCCTTTTGAAATGTCACTTAGAAACAGGGTCATCTGAACTCAGAATTCAGCAACGCTGCTAGTTCACAGCACGGGGGGTGGGGAGGGTGTTCTGGGGGTTGGGACAGTCCAGGGCAGGGCAGGGCAGGGCAGGGCAGGGCAGCAGGCCCACCACGCACTTGGTTAAGTGTTCTTTTTTTACTTGGTTGGGACCTTCAGGTATATTTCAGCTTATTTTTCTTTGCATCTTTACATATTTTTCTGTATCGTAACATTTTGTTCCATGAATTTGAGATCCTTCTGGGTGGCGTTTTCTCCCTAATCTCTCTAGGCAGCTGCTGTCAGAAGGCTGTAGCCACTCTTTATTCCTCTGTGGTAACTAACTTTTCTGATACGTAATATATACATACAGATGGACACACATGTTCTATCCGCATTGTCTAGCTGAATGAAAGTTACATAGAATGTGTATAGGGCGTATGTTAATGTATACTCTATTTTACCATGTAAGTTTTATATTTATACATCTACACATAAATTATATACAGGGCGGGCAAAAGTAGGTTTACAGTTTGTATGGAAAATAATACAATAATAAATAGTACAGAAAGATACTGTTGCCCAGCTGGTGTCATCTCGTGCACCGAGAGGTCACTGGTTTGATGCCCAGTCAGGGCACATGCCCAGGTTTCGGGTTCGATCCCCAGTAGGGGGCGTGCAGGAGGCAGCCCATTGATGTATCTCTCTCATTGATATTTCTGTCTCTCCCTCTGCCTTCCCCTCTCTAAAGAAAAATCCATTAAAATTTTTTTTAAAAAGCACTATTTAAAAAAAAGAATAAAGTGTTGCATACACACAGCTGTAACCTCCTGTTGCCCCACTCTGTGCAGTTGACCCTTGGGCAACCGGAGGCACCAGTCATCTGCACAGTTGGAATTCTCAGTGTAACTTACGTCAGCCCTCAGTGTCCTCAGATTTCCAACCTCAGCTGACCTTGGACAGCGTGGGTTTGAATTGTGCGGGTTAATTGAAAAGACCTGCATGTAAGTGGACCTGCACAGTTCAAACCATGCTGTTCCGGAGTCACCTGCAAACATGACTTGTATTGAACTGGAGAGGATAGGGGTTGTACTTACCTAGATGGAACTGACTAGAAGCCAGCCAGCTCCGCCTGAAGTTCCACAGCCGGGCGGCTGGTGAGAAAACAGACTAAGCGGAGTCCTGCAGGGACATGCTGTGGAGAGAGGACATGTCTAGTCCAGGGAGTAGCGGCTTCCCTGGGAGTATTTGCCCTGCAGTGGGTCAGGCCACCTCACTAGGAAACATTTAGTCATTCTATAAATGGAAAAGGAAATCAATAACTTTCCTCGAGTACTGGGCATTTGATATATTTTGGTGCCAAGATAGAAGCTAAGGGTATCTTCTTAGGGAGCAGAGGAGAAGGAAATGGAAAACCTGTCTTGCATGTTGAGTGTCTTCACATGCCCTTGGAGAGTGTCAGCACCTCTAGCTTCATAGGGCCCCTGTGCTTGAAGGGCCTCGCCCTTGGAAACTTGCTGACTTTGGGGGGCCGAGGGGGCACAGATGTGGATCACAGAGCTCTGGTCTTCCCTTAGGTGATGAGAACGGGAAGAAGGCCAGCAACCCCAACCACTGCAACTGCATCATAGATCAGATCTTCACGGGGGGGCTGCAGTCGGACGTCACCTGCCAAGTCTGCCAGTAAGTGAGGCTTTGTGCAGGGGACTGTGTGCCCTGGGTGCCTCCTAGGCCCTACTCGCCAGGCCACACTGTGGGGCCCCAGGTCCTTCCAGGGAGAGAGACTTCACTGGATGTTGCTCATCAACATGGCACTTTTTCAGTCTGCACACTGTTGTGTTCCAAGAAGTTTTTAAAGTTTCAGACTCTTGAGCGTGATGTTCAGGCAGTGCCCCGTCAGGCCTTCCTGGCAATGTTCCAGGAGGTTCTGGAACAACCAGGCAAGAAACAGGACACGTTTTATTTAGACAGCCCTTGACGTGTGGGGACAAAATAACCCCAGTAGGAAAGGCAGGAGAAATTCGCAGGTCTCCTGAGTGTGACGGTCAGCAGGGCCGTGTCCGCCCTGGGGCTGCGAGGCTTCGTGTTGGGTTGTCTGTCGCTGTCGACACCCGGCAGGCTACGCTGTGAAGCTGTCCTCCCCATCGCTGCTTTCCTTCGGGCCCCTGATGCTAGGTGCCAGCTAAAGAGCCCACTTCAGAGGCTGGGCTGCAACGGCAGATACTTGATGTACGTGCTCCAAAGTGAGTCACTGAAGTATTTCATGGTTTCCTTTCCCATTTTCTCCAAAGTAGTGTCCCTAAATTCTTCATAGGTTTTGGTTCTGTGCTTAGAGCTCAGGGCTTTTATTTTCAGGAGAAGAGTGCATTGGGGGTGAGGTTAGAAGAACCCACTCTTTCCTCCACCCTCAGTACACTCCTATGGTTTTTATTTCACTTCAGCTTTATTCATTTATTCATTCATTTATTGTTGATCCTCACCCAGAATACTTTTCCGGTTGAGTTTTGGAGAGTGTGAGGGGGACATCGACGTGAGAAGGACACGTTGATGGGCTGCCTCCCGCTTGTGCCCGTAGCAGAGCCGGGTCGAGTCTGCAGCGGTAGTGTGTGCCCTTCAGTTCGTGGGCTGATGTTCCGCCATTAGCACACCAATCAGGGCTCACTTCAACTTGTTTTTAAAAGCCTGGTCACAGATCCAGTAAAATTTAAAAACCTATAATGGATTAGCACTTGCAGTTGTGTAGGATAGACCAGATGCTGGAAAAGAGTCCGTTTGGCCTGTAGGAGGTACACATGCAGTTCTCTTACGTAGCATACGTCGTCACAGGCCACGCTCTGAGCAGCTTGGACTCAGGCTTTAAATAACTGCCTCGTTGGCCTGTGCTGTTGAACTCTACCAGCAGGAGATTGTCTCAGATTTCCATCCTGTTTAAATTTCTGTAGTCCGTTTCCCAATCTGAATTTTCAGTTTGTGTATTTTAAAGTAAATCTCTGGGAGGGAATTGAAATGCTGCCATTCAGCCTGGGTGGCTGTGCACTCTCTCTGTGAAGTGTGCTTGGAGGTCTCCCCAGGCTCAGCAGTTCTGTTCCCAGAGGCTGCTGAGATGATAGGTCCATTGATTCAGAACCTCTGCACATGGGGCCCAGAAAAACCCTGACATGATAGTGCTGATCTTCTGGGTGTAGAAGCTATGGCTTTAGGAGCAGACTTTGTCTTAAGTGGTTTGCATGGTGTTTCTCCCTAGGGCTTTGGGAGCCCAAGACACACTGGGTGTGAGCACATGTTTTTGACCTGAGATGGATAAAAGGGTGGAGCTGTGAGAATGTTGGGGTGCACTCTATGAGGTGGTACCTCTGAAGATATGTGTGGATATCAGTTCTCACATGGGTTTCTGTCTCCTCTTGCTTCTAGTGGAGTCTCCACCACAATAGACCCCTTCTGGGACATCAGTTTAGATCTGCCTGGCTCTTCCACCCCATTCTGGCCCCTGAGCCCAGGGAGTGAGGGCAGTGTGGTGAACGGGGAAAGCCACATGTCTGGAACCACAACACTTACGGATTGCTTGAGAAGGTAAGAAACCTCCAGCACTTTTGCAGAAAAAGAAAGTTCTTTCCTTGCAGGAAGCTATCTCTCTTGCCATGAGGCTCTTCAGTAGTAAAACCCAAATAAACCTAGGGCTGCCCAAGGTCCCAGTAGTGTGTGTTTTACACTTCCAGTGTGGAACATGGGAAAAGAATCCAGCGTGCCCACCGTTGGTCCCAATGACTCCTACTAGGTTGTCACATTTTTGCAAGGTGACTAGATGTTCTATCCACCTAGCTTTGCATTGTGGGATGTCTGTATTACAACTACTGGTCCACCCCACCCCCAGTGTAAATGAACAGAGAGCAGAAGTTACAGCTCCCTCACCTTCTGTGGCTGATAACTACCAGAGTCTGCATGAGGGCCGGCCCTCCCGCGGGTGATGGGAGAGCTGTGATGTTCCGTCTGCATCTGCACTGTATTTATGTCCATTTGCTGCATCATCAATTTAGACAAGTGATGAGATTTAGGGTGCAGTTGCTATAAAATGTATTTAAGTAGCTGTTACGTACAAATGTGTTAAGGCCAGAAATCCTTCCTAAACTTTATTTTAATAGGGCTTAGTGTTTTAAAGCCTTTATTTTCCTCTACTTCCATTAACTCAAGGTCCCTGCGGACAGGTCCTCGCTGGGTGGAAGTGCCCCTTGAGTTGAGGGGTGGGGCTTGGTTTTGACCTTACCACCATAGTCAGCATACGCAGAGGTACATGTTCAGAGTTTTAAAGTTAACTTTGTTACACTGATAGATTCAGATATAAGTGAAGTATCAGAATTTAAATTTGGGAAACAAACATATAAATCTTTTGATTTTTCAAGAGAGTATTTATAATGAAATTAAATTTTATGGTAAATTTCAGTAATATGGACACTGCCCACAAAGCAGGCAAGGAGGGCAACTGCACTTAGCAGACGGAAGCATGTGGAAGCTGCCGGTCAGCCCCACGTCTGAGGAAAGGTCGGCTTTCTTTGTCTCTAGTTTTTATTAACAGTGAAGGGTCCCTTTTCAAATTGTATTGAGAGTAAATCACAGAGCTGGTGGAAGAACTTGAAGTACCTGTGGTTTTTAGCTCTAGACATTCAGGTTTTTGGGCATTTCATGACTTAGAGAACTGGAGGGTGGCTGAGTGGCTGTCACCATTGGCAGCACCTGCACAAATGCTCAGATGTGCTCCTTGAACCCCTCCTTCATGGAGGAGGGCGCATCTGGACTGCAGTGTTTGTGTAGTAACCGACCAGGGCTCCTCAAAGCCCTTCCTAGGGTTTCCGTGGGCTTGGTGGTGCACCATTTGCTCTTTGTTGCCTTATAGCTGTCTCAGTTCTTACATTTGTGTGTTTTCTCAGCTGGGACAGAAGTGCAGCCCCCTCAGGGGAGGGGACTGCCTCGGGCTCTCTTAGTGTCTCCCAGAGCACTAAGGTGCTGGTGGACATCTGGTACATGCGGTGAATGAGAGTTTACTTGCTTTTACTCAGTCATAGTTCTTGCAAGGTTGCAAGTGGCAGGCAGTGACTCTGGTGAACTTAAGCAGGTAAGGACATGGGGTTGTTCACAGAATCCATGGAAGGCTAAGAGAACCCAGCTCAGCAAACAAGTGTCACCTTGGGAGGCTTGGGACCAGCATCTATAAATAGCCCACTGCTGCCTGCCTGCCCTGGTGCAGGGAAGGTGCCACTCATGGACACAGGTCTTCCCACAGTGCTTCATTAGAACAGTAGCCCAGGTTCAGAGTCCCCAAGAGAATCACTCATCTGATGCCCTCATTGCTGGGGTGGGAAGAGCAAATACTGGCTTTTGTGGTCAGCTTCAGTAGTAGAGGGCAGGCCCTGCTTCCACCCAGGTTTGCAGATTCTCTGAATGGGGGAGGGGAGGTGTGGATAGATACTTAAGGAGGTATGTAAATTGGGCTCTGTTTTCCATCCATAATTTCTTAATTTGTAACTACGTTAGGTTGAAGCCAAATTCTCTTCATTCTGACGTTGTGAGGCTTGTTCGGTGTGTTCTTTTGGTTCTGAAGCAGGTTTGGTGGGAGGAAGTGAGCATAGTTTGGCTGAGATGACAAGAATCTGGGGGCAAATGTATTTGTGGGCACTGCACATGGAAACAAAACTAACAGATTATCAGAAACTTCTAGAAAAATGAAGTTAAAAAACATCAAAGGATGACTTGACTACTGAGCATTTTGCAGTGGGTGGTGTAAATTTTTTTAAATGTATATTATCACAACAAGTCGTGTGCTGCTTGATCGGTTGCTTAATTGATAATAGTTAGCAAAGCAAATATAATTGGCATGAAGTATGTGAATCAACATTCGAGGGTAGTTGGGATAATAACCCCCCAGTGTGACTTTGCCAGCCCCGGAACAGTCTGGAAGCCTGTCCTGTCCTAAAAGGAGTTCCTGAAGCAGGCCTGTGGGTTGTTTCATTGGTTCCCTGTAGGGGGAAGGCCCTTGGGATTCCCGGAGGGCAGTGCAGTGTTCCTTGCAGCCAGGTGCAGGGCTTGGGAAGCTTGTTGCCTCAGGCACTTGCTTTCTACCCTTTGTCTTCTCTTAGAGCAGGGATGGGCTACACCTGTGAAATCATTTGGCCTGGCGTTGCCAAGGCAACTGCAGGCGGGACCCCAAATTCAATAAATCTAGCTTTTTTCATAGCTAATTTAAGTTGATAATTTTGTACAGCCCTCTAATGATATAAATATCCAAATAGCCCTTGGCAGAAAAAGGGTTCCCCACTCCTGTCTTGGAGCTTTGAATGCTTGCGGGACAGTAGTCCTCTGCCTAATTTTGGCTGCGGTTGGTATTGGACTTCCGCTTTCTAAAGTCATGTTTGACTCTGCCATCGGAGTTCTTGTCCTCTTGTCGCTGCAGCTGACCATGGAAGCTGGCAGAGAGGTGGTCCAGGTCCCTGGCTGGTCCTGAGGAGTGTGATTTGGATAGGGCAGAACTGTGTTTTGAGTTGGAAAATTGGATGATGGAATAATGTTGTGGCAACTCTGGTGTATCTCCAAAGTCCTCACTGTTCACATGCACACTTTCTTCTCTCCTGCCATCGACCTGCCAGTCATCGTTCAGTCTTCACTGATTGGTTTGTTGTAGGTGACAGGAACAGCACTGGGTGTTCGGCCTGTGGGGTCACACCAGATCTGGGTTCAGCAACCTTGGAACTTGGGTTCTGGCTAGGAAAGAATTCAGAGCCAAGACCCAAACTACAAGAGAACATTTATTTGGTAAAATTACAGAGGTGGAAGAAGTAATTCCTAGAAGAAATGGACTGAGGAAACAAAGTTTTAGAGGCAAAGGAAGGGCCCTTGGTGCTTGGGAGTGAGAAAGCTAATGCTAATGTGCCTGGGGGGGAGTGGCTGCAGTGGAAAGAAGGGAATGGCAGAGACACAGGCGTGAGCTTCTCCCAGGTAGGAGAGCGCTGAGTCCTCAGTCCTAATGGTTTTAAGTGTGAAGATCTTAGGGGGGCCGGTCCCCGGGAAAGATCTTATTATAATATTCAGCAGCTTTTCATGTATGTCCTTTCAGGGTTGTGGTCTCCAGTGATTGATTTGTTGTTGCCGGGTTGGGGGCCATCATTCAATGCAGCTGGTCCTGAGATCAGCTGTGGCTGGTTTTGCTACTTTTCTGGGTCTGGAGCTTAAACACAAACTGAGGCCTAGATGTTATCTCTAGGGAGGAAAGGTCAGGGTGTCCAAACCCATGACCAGCATATGCTAGGGGAGGAAAGGCCACCCTGGGGGTGAGGTCCCACCCTACAGTTGTCCTTATTAGGCACCCAGGGCTTTGCACCTGGGGCTTTCCCTCCGGGTGACCTTCTGTACCTTGCCCTCTATTGTTCTTGCTCTGCTCTTGTCTGTCTAACTGCCTATCACTGTGTTTTTTAAAACTGTTTTAAAGTTTGTTCAGTCAGGATTCAGACTAGGTCCACATACTGCATTTGGTTTATTGGTCTTCTGAGTCACTTGCAAGTTTTCTTTCCCTGCCTTTTCTTTGTTGAAAAGACAAGATCATTTGTTAATAGAATTTCCCAACTCTGGACCTTCCTGACTGGGTGTGCAGACGAGTCCTGCAGGTTGTGGTGAGCATGGGGGGTGCCTGGCCCCATCCCTGTCCTCCACAAGACCTCACTATCCCCTCGCCCTCTCCTGCTCCCTGGGCACCTCGCAGATGGCATTTCGGCTTTGCCGGGCATTGTCCAGCCTTTGCTGAAGTGGCAGCATTCCCAAAAGATAAATAAGGATGTCCAGCTCCAGTTGTCAAAAGGTGGAATTTTCTGTTTGTTTTTCAGCTTTAAATTTTAAAATTTTGGCATAAACTATATTGAAACATCTATTTTATGGTTTTTATCTTTAGTAGATACCACAAATGCTTGCTAACTTATCCAGTCCAACCTGTCTATCTCATGATCTATCTTCACTACGAAGATCAAATTTCCCAAATGTCTCATTTTAAAAAATTAAACCTTTTCTTTTGAGATAATTGTAGCTTCCCATATAGTTGTAAGAAATACTCCCTAGTGATTGCATGTATCCTTCACCCCACTCCTCCCAGAACAGTGTCACAGCCAGGATACTGACACCCTGCCGACCGGATGCAGGGAGGGCACTCCCACCACCCAGGAACCCTCGTAGCCATCCTCCTGCCCTCTGACCACCACTGTCTCCCGGACCCCTGGCAACTATGAATCTGTTCTCTGTTTCTATAAATTCCACATTTCAAGAAAGTTATATAACTGGAATCATACAACATGTAACCTTTGGGATTTAATTTATTTCTTTATTGAATTTATTGGGGCAACGTTGGTTAATAAAATTATATAGGTTTCAACATAACAAACCATCTGTATTATATTGTGTTGTGTGCTTACCACCCAGAGTCAAGTCTCCTTCCATCACCATTTACCCCTTTACCCTCCTCTGCCTCCCCTACCCCCTTCCCTCTGCTCATCACTATGCTCTTATTTTTGTCTATGAGGTGTGTTTTGTGGTTTTTTTTTAGATGAATCCTTTTACCTTTTCACCCAACCTCCAACACCCCTCCCTTCAGACAGCTGTCAGTCTTTTCTCTGTATCTATGAGTCTTTTTCTATTTTGTTTGTTTATTTTTTGTTCATTCGATTCCACATATGAGTGAAATCATGTGATATTTGTCTTTTTCTGCCTGGCTTACTTCACTTAGCATAATAATACTCTCCAGTTCCCTCTACACTGCCTCAAAGGGTAAGTGTTCCTCTTTTTTTATAGCTGCATAATATTCCACGGTGTAAATGTCCCATAGCTTTTTTATCCACTGATCTACTGATGGGCTGCTTCCAAATCTTAACCACTGTAAATAAGACTGCAATGAACATAGGGGTGCATATGTTCTTTCAAATTAGTGTTTTGGGATTCTTAGGATATATTCCCAGAAGTGGGATCACTTCATACTGTTTTCCATAGTGGCTTCACCCGTCTGCATTCCCTCCAACAGGGTGCCCTTTTCTCTGCATCCTCACCAGCACTTGTTGTTTGTTGATGTAATGATTGACGGTTGTTTGTTGATGTAATGATCTGACAGGTGTGAGGTGATAACCTCGTTGTAATTTTAATTTGTATTTCTCTGAAGATTAGTGATATTGAGCATCTTTTCATATATCTATTGGCCATCTGTATATTCTTTTTAGAGATGTGTCTATTCAGGTCTTCTGCCCATTTTAAAATTGTTTTTATGGTGTTGAGTTTTATAAGTTTTTTATAAATTTTGGATATTAACCTCTTATCAGATGTATCATTGGTGATTATGTTCTCCCATTCAGTGGGTTGTCTTTTAATTTTGTCGATACTTTTCTTGGCTGTGCAAAGACTTTTTATTTTGTTGTAGTCTCATTTGTTTCTATTTTCTTATGTTTCCTTGCTTGAGGAGATATATCAGAAAGAATATTACCATGAGAAAGGTCCGAGATTTTACTGCCTATGGTTTCTTCTAGGGTTTTGATGGTTTCAAGCCTTACATTTAAATCTTTTTTTTCTTTTCTTTTTTTTTAAAATATATCTTTTATTGATTTCAGAGAGAGGAAAGGAGAGGGAGAGAGAGAGATAGAAACATCAATGATGAGAGAGTCATTGATCGGCTGCAGCCCGCAACCCGGGCATGCGCCCTGACCGGGAATCGAACCCTGATTGCCTGGATCCAAGGTCGACGCTTAACCACTGAGCCACGCCCAGCCGGGCTACATTTAAATCTTTAATCCATTTTGAGTTTATTCTTGTGTATGATGTAAGAAGGTGGTCTAGTTTTATTTTTTTGCATGTATCAAATTTTTCCAACATTTATTAAATAGATGGTCTTTACCCTATTGTATATTGTGGCCTCCTTTGTCAAATATTAATTGACCATAAAGCCATGGATTTATTCTTGGGATCTCTGTTCTGCTCCATTGATCTGTATGTCTATTCTTATGCCAGTACCATGCTGTTTTGATTACAGTGGCTTTGTATTATAGTCTGATACAGGTAGTGTGAGTCCTCCAATTTTGTTGTTCTTAAGATTTCTGAGGCTCTTTGGTTCCATACAAAGTTTTGGAATATTTGTAATAGTTCTATGAAATAGACTATTAGTGTCTTCATAGAAATTTCCTTGACTCTATACATTGCTTTGGGTAGTATGAACATTTTAACATTAATTTTTCCAATCCATGAACATGGTATATGCTCCCACTTACTTGTATCTTCTTCAGTTGTTTTCTTCAGTGTCTTACAAGTTTCTGAGTACAGGTCTTGCACATATTTGGTTAAATTTATTCCTAGGTAGGTAGGTGTGTGTGTGTATTTGAAGCAATTGTAAATGAGATTGTTTTCTTAGATAGTTCATTAGTGGTGTATAAAACTGCAACTGATTTCTGGATATTTTGTGTCCTGCAACTTTACTGAACTCATTTATCAGTTCTAACAGTTTTTTGTGTAATCTTTAGGTTTCTCTAGTATCATGTCACCTGCAAATAATGACAGTTTTACTTCTTCCTTTCCAATTTGGATGCCTTTTATTCCCCCTCCCCAATATGTTTTTACTGATTTTAGAGGGAGAGAGAGGAAGGGAGAAATACCAGTTTGCTGCCTCCTGCACGCCTCTTACTGGGATTGAGCCTACAGCCCAGGCAAGTGCCCTGACTGGGGAATCGAACCAGTGACCTCTCGGTGCATGGGATGATGCTCAACCAACTGAGCCACACTGGCCAGGGCTGTTTCTTCTTCTTGTAATCTGTTTAGAGTTTTTCATTCTTTGATTTTAATTTTTTTTTTTTTTTAAATATATCTTTATTGATTTCAGAGAGAGGAAGGGAGAGGGAGAGAGAGAGATAGAAACATCAGTGATGAGAGAGTCATTGATCAGCTGCATCCCACAACCCGGGCATGTGCCCTGACCGGGAATCGAACCCTGATTGCTTGGATCCTAGGTCGATGCTTAACCACTGAGGCACGCTCAGCCGGGCTCTTCTTTGATTTAGTTCTGGAAGATTTGCATGTTTCTAGGAATTTATCCATCTCCTCAAGGTTGTCCAATTTGTTGGCATATAGTTGTTTTATAATATTTTCTTATAATCCTTTGTATTTCCTTGGTGTCAGTTGTAACTTCACTTTCATTTCTGGGCCCTCTTGTCTTTTTTTATTGATGAGTCTGTTTAAAGGTTTGTCAATCTATCTTTTCAAAGAACCAGCTCTTGGTTTTATTGAATTTTTGGCGGGGGGGGGGG